CCAATTATCAGGACAATTTCTAATAAATCTCCAAATCATATGAGAAATATTATACTTAATTTCCTCAAAAACTATTTATATAAATACATGAATTTAGCATTTATTTACAAAAAAAAATATAAATAATAAAATTAATGCCGTAATATTACCATGTTGGTTCTCATATCCGATTAATTTATTTCTTTGATAATTTAGAAGTGCAAGGGCATCGCAAGCATGCCTTATTAAATCAACATGATCCTCATTATTTTTATATAACCATTTAATTTGAACTTGCCTTTCATCTTGTTGCTTTAATTCAAGCAAAAAACCATTCTCATAAACTTTTAATTCTAATATTTGTAAAGTATGTTCATTTTCATAATCTTCATTAGCCCAAAAATATTCAAGAACAAACTTTTCTTTTTGCTCAATTTTACGCCATACTTGAAGGGTACATTTTCCGATATATAACTGCATCGATTCTTCATGGTTAAGATATACCCATGTTCCTTTATATTTATCAGCTATCCATGGTTCTGCATTATCTTTAAATGGTTGTGCTACCTTTGATTCAACATTTTGATGAAAAACGATATGGTTATCAGATTCTAATTCGTGCATTTCATGTTACAACATATTACCACCACTATACAATGTAAATCTTGGTAATAAATCATTTTCTTTATATTTGTTTAAATTATCTATTTTAAATAAGCTATCGTATATTGATAATATATAACCAGAGTTACTAACCGATATGTATTTACCAGGAATCTTTGCAATATATAAAATACTTTCTTCAACTTCGTTTTCAACTTCGTTTAAATCGACATAATGTTGTTGAAATTTATTTGTATATAAATGCCAAATTAACATACTTATACTGTTTTGATTTGCTTTTTTAATAATTACCATTAATTTGTTATCATCCTTAAAGTCGGAAGCAATTATCTTTGTATTTCTTCCAAAATCTTTACGAATAATTTCTATACCATTTTCTATTAAATAAAGAGCCAATTTTCCATAACCAGACGAAAAGGCAATCATTTGCTTATTTTTTGAAATAGCTAATACAGATTTGCTATATTTACTTGAATAATTTTTTTCTTCATATATATTGAAAATTTGTTGTATTTGCATGGTTCTTAAATCATATAATTGCATAACTTGAATTCCTTCTCTATACTGCTCGATATAAAAATAGTGATCAAAAATGCAATTTTTAATTCGAAAAATACAAGATTTGGTCTTATAAAAAGTATCTAATTCAATTATAAGTCTTCTTGGATAATCAAAATGTTCTAAATTCATTAAACAATTATCAACAATTTCACAAATTGTGAGTTTATAGATTCCACCAGCATTAAAAATAAAGCAATACGTTTTTGCTATTTTACTAGAATTATAATCACCATGAACAAAAGAAACAATACCACCGATTTTTTCTTCTTTAAATATTTCAACTTTTTTAACAATAGTTTCTTCCTCTTGCTCACTTTTCTTCAATAAATCTATTGCAATTTTATAAATAACAGTTCTTCCATTTATTGATTGATTAAAACCAGCTTCCGATAAGGATTTTTCATCATTCTCAATAGTGGCTTCTTCATTAACATTAATAATAATTTCTGGAGTTTCAAATTGTATAGAAACACCTTTTCCTTTTTTAGCTAACATATCAAATTCCGTTACATAAGATATTGCAACAAAAATGAAGTTATGTTGTATATTTGATATTGCTATCATCCATTTTGAATTTGTAATTTCTTTTAACTGAGATATATTTTCTCCAAAGATATTATTAAATTTATATGAAATTACTTTATCGATTTCATTATATTGATTAGATTTAATGATTTTATATTCCATCTTTTCTACAATATATATAAAGATTAAATTAAATAAAAAAATATAATTAATAATAAATAACAATTACCATGATGAAATATAATGATATATTCTCCATTTGGACTAATAGCAATATGCCAATCTAAATTATTTTGGCTCAAATAATCTTTTAAAAGATCCGCTTTTTTTATAAAAAATATGATAAATAAATATAATAATACAATTACTAAAATAGCAGGATAAAAACTCTTAAATAATTTTCAACTTTATAATATTTTAATTTAATACATAACATCTGATATTAAATTATTACTAACATTATAAAGTAATATTTGAAATACTTACTTTCTAATATTATTTTATTTTTTTTATTTAAAAAAAAATGTTTAGCTAATTAACATATAAATTATAAAAAATACAAATTAAATAACTTACCGCCTATAGGTAATTAAATATTAATAATAAAAAAATATATAATGTTAAATACTTAAAAGTATAAAATATAATAAAGGTTAAATTACTCACGAGCTATAATCATATTAAATTTTAGTTAATAAATAATTTATATAAAAGTATTGAATAGATATAATTTAATAAAAATTAAATAACTTACTAACTATAAAAATATTAAAAACAAAGTTTTAATTATTTTTTTATAAAAATGAATACTTAAAGATTTCATATAAAATAAATAATAAAATAAAATAAAAATAATCTACCTCCTATATAATTATTATTAAGTTAAAATTTAGAAAATTTTTATATAAAAAAAATAATATAATAAATTCAAATACTCAATAAATAAAAATAACTTACTAACTATTAACAAATTTAAATTTTTAATAATTTAATAATAAAGCTTTTATATAAATAAATGATATAATAAATAAAATAACTTACTTTCTATATAATCAATTATTAAATAATTTTAAATTTAAATTTAAATAAAAATTTAATATAAATAATTTAATAAAACATAAATACTTACCAACTATATTTATAATTAAATAATTTAAACTTTAAATTTAATTAAAAATTTTATATAAATAAATAATATAATAAAATAAAAATACTTACCAACTATATTTAAAATTAAATAATTTAAAATATAAATTTTGTTAAATATTTAATATAAAAAGATATATACAAAAAATTTAAATAACTTACTTTCTAAATTATCTATTAAATTATTTTAAATTTTTTAATTAATCAATTATTAATAATTTTAAATTTAAATTTTAATAAAAATTTAATATAAATAATATCATAAAATAGAAATACATACATTCTGTATATTTAATTATTAGATAATTTTAAATTTTTTAATTAAAAATTTTATATAAATGAATGATATAATAATTCAAATAACTTACATTCTATAAAAAAATTTTAAATTATATTTTTATTAAACTTTTATTAATAAATTATATGATAAATAAAATAACTTACATTTTATATAATAATTTATTAAATTTAAATTTATTTAAAGTTTTATATAAATAATTTATATACAATAATTCAAATAACTTACGTTCTATTTTAAATAATTTTTTAAATTTAAATTATTAAAGATTTTATATAAACTAAATATTAGAATAAATTTAAATAACTCAATAAATAAAAATAACTTACCAACTATATTATTATTATATCATTTTAAATTTAATTTAAATTATTAAAGATTTTATATAATAAATCTTAAAATAAATTCAAATAACTTAATAAATAAAAATAACTTACTGACTATATTATCATTATATTATTTTAAATTTAATTTTAATTTTGTTAAAACTTACATATTAATAAATTATACTATAAATAAAATAACTTACATTCTATTTGTTTTATATAATAATTTATTAAATTTAAATTTATTTAAAGTTTTATATAAATAATTTATATATATAATAATTTAAATAACTTACGTTCTATATAATCAATTATTAAATAATTTTTAAATTTAAATTTTTAAAAATTTTATATAAATAAATGTTAGAATAAATTCAAAAAACTCAATAAATAAAAATAAACTTACTAACTATATTATCATTATATTATTTTAAATTTAAATTTAATTAAAGATTTATATAAATAATAATATAATAATTCAAATAACTTACATTCTATAAAATAATTATAAATTTAACTTTTGTTAAAACTTTTACATTAAATAAATTATACAATAAATAAAATAACTTACGTTCTTTACGTTCTATATAATAATTTATTAAATTTAAATTTATTTAATGTCTTATATAAATAATTCATATATACAATATTTAAATAACTTACGTTCTATATAATCAATTATTAATTAATTTTTAAATTTAATTTATGATAGATTTTATGTAAAATTAATTATTGAATAAATTCAAATATCTTAGTAAATAAAAATAACTTACCAACTATATAATTAATTATTAAATAATTTTAAATTCAAGTTTAATTATTTAATTAAAAATTTATATAAAGAAATGATATAATCAATTTAAATGACTTACATTCTATATAATAATTTTAATTTTAATTTTTATTAAAACTTTTATATTAATAAATTAAACAATAAATAAAATAACTTACGTTCTATATAATAATTTATTAAATTTAAATTTATTTAAAGTTTTATATAAATAATTTATATACAATCATTCAAATAACTTACGTTCTATATAATTATTTATTAAAATTTTAAATATATATTTAATTAAAGATTTTATATTAATAAATGAAATAATCTATTTAAATAACTAACTTTCAATATAATCAATGGTAAAATAATCTAAAATATAAATTTAGTTAATAGTTTTATAAATAAATAGCATAATAATTAAATAAATAAAATAGCTTACCAACTATATTTTTATTAAATAATTATAAATTTAAATTTAATTAAAGATGTTATATAAATAATTGATACAATAATTCAAATAACTTACGTTCTATATTATTAATTATTAAATAATATTAATTTTAAAGTTAATTAAATGACTTTATATAAATAATTAATACAATAATTTAATAAATAAAATTACTTACCAACTATATTATATTTAATGATTTAAATTTAAGTTAAATTAAAGCTTATAATAAAATAATAAATAATCATCCAAATAACTTACATTCTAAATATTCATTTATTAAATATTTTTACTTTTAATTTATTTAATAATTTTATAAAAAATGAGATGATACTTTCAAAATAAAAAAACTTACTTTCTAGTTAAATAAATTTAAATTAAATATAATTAAAGTTTATATAAATTAATGAAATAATAATTCAAATAACTTACGTTCTTTATTAAATAATTTTGAATTTAAATTTAATTAGGAATAAATGATATATCAATTTAAATGACTTTATAAAATAAAAATTACTTACTAACTATATTATTATAAATAATTATAAATTTAAATTTAATTAAAGATTATATATAAATAAATAATATAATTCGAATATCTTACGTTCTATATAATCAATTAATTATTTAATAATTTTAAATTTAAATTTGTTAAGATGGTACAATAAATTCAAATAACTCAATAAATAAAAATGTTGTAGCTTACCAACTATATTATCATTAAATCATTTTAAATTTAAATTTAATTAAAAATTTTATATGAATCAATAATATAATAATTCAAAAACTTACGTTCTATATAATAATCATTAAAATAATTTTTAAAATTTAAATTTGTTAACAATAAATTCAAATTACTCAATAAATAAAAATCTTACCAACTATATTTTTATTAAATAATTTTAAATTTAACTTTTATTAAAAATTTATATAAATATATAATATAATAATTCAAATAACTTACGTTCTATAAAATATTATTAAATTTAAATTTAGTTAAAAGATTTTATATAAATAAATGATACAATAAATAAAATACTTACGTTCTATATCAATTGTTAAATAATATATTTAGTTAAAGCTTTTATTTGAATAATTGATACAATAATTCAAATAACTTACGTTCTATATAATCATTATTAAATAATTTTAATTTAAATTTACTTAAAGGTATATATAAATAATTATCACAATAATTCAAATAACTTACGTTCTAAATAATCATTTTATTAATTTTAAATTTAATTTGATTAAATATTTTATATTAATAAGTGACAAATAACTTACTTTCAATATAATCAATTGTTAAATAATCTAAAATATAAAGTAATTAAATGATTTATATAAATAAATAATACAATAGTTTATATAAATAAACGCTTACCAACTATAATTTTACCAAATAATTTAATTTTAAATTTGAATTTAGTTAAAAATAGTACAATAAATTCAAATAATTTTACGTTTAATTATTAAATAATTTTAAATTTAAATATAATTGAAGATATAATAAATTCATATAACTTACGTTCTATATTAATTATCATTTAATAACAAAAGTTTTAGTTGATTTAAATGTTATAAATTTTCGATGTTAAAAATTCATATACATGTACATTTAAAAAAAATATCATATATCGTCTTAGAAATTTTTTACTGCTTGTTTTAGTAAAATAAATTATTACCTTCGATACTTGAAACTGGATCGAGTATTTTTATAGTAAATTTAGTTCTCAGTCCAATTTAACACATTCATTTAAAATATTGTTCTTACCTTTGGATGAAGAACCATCTTCGTCAGTCTTGTATGGTTCTAATTATTATGAACCATTTTATTAGCAGCACACTTCAATCGAATTTTGTGTATATAATATCGCTGAAATACCTTTTCCTATTAAAAATAATGCATTAAATTTAATGGATTAATACTAGTTGAGTAAAAGGCAAAATTCATTTACCGGCCATTATGTAAAATATGGAAGACAATTACTTAAAAAAAAGAAAATATTTTTTTTGATATTTAAATAAAGAAATATATTTGTTTCACACAACCATTGTAACGGGTAACAAATATCAAAGACCGCATCACTCATTGCGCACTGTAGATCATTTGGAGAAAATATTATTTTTACAATTAAAGTCATATTTCCTGTTCATTGTAAG